CTCGGTCAATGGCCAGGGTCAACGACGGCGTGGTGTATTCCGCAAATAAGCCCGCCTGTGAGGGCGGGCACAAGCCGGCGTGAATAGGTTAAACGTTGAGTTTTATAAGGGCACCACGGGGTGACCAGCCCCTCGACACCCAGCCCCACCCCTCCCCTCCCCACCCAGCCCCTCCCTGCACGACGGACGGACGGACACAATAATCCCGTGTGGGCTGGTGGAACCAGTGGGTTCCTACCAGTAGAAAGCCATCGTAACGATGTTCGTTTGCACTACCCTGCACGTGACGGCGTTTCTCAACCGTGCTGGTGAGTGGCGGCATCTTGATCAGCAACACAACGCAGGTGACGCAGGCCACACCGCGGGGTGAGATCACGGCCTTCCCCGCCTGCAGCACCACCGATGAGCACGGTCGGCTACGCGTGGTGGAGAAAGATGTTCGACACGCGTAGGTGCAGCCAACGCGGGGTTGGGGAGGCATCTCGTGCAGTGCGTTGCCGTCACTTTAAGATGTTTTCTTGTCCATGTTTTTTGTTTGTTGCTGATGCACCCGATTCAAGAGCCGAATGGCTCACCCGGCTATACCCCACCATCTTCTCCAACCATTATATAAACGGAGTGGTAGCTCCTTCAATCTCTCATTTACTTGATACAGCTGTCGTGGCTGTGACGGTACCACCTGAAGACGGAGGCTTGTGTTGCCTCCGAAACGTCGTGATTTTTATTTAATTTTAATTTTACTTTTATTAATTTAAATGTTTTACCTACGTGACTTTACCGAAAAAACTTAAGAATATGAATCCTTGCAGTCACGAAAGCTTCAAATCTAGACTTCTCTAATAGTTGACTGAGCGCATCATGCCAACTTTATTCAAACCTGACTTCAAAGTTTGGTGAGAAATGGCATTGTGTGCTGTCGTAGCTGTCACGGGATTTTAAATATATATGATCTTAGCAGAGTGCAAACGTTAATTTATTTGTTTAGTCATACGCTCTTTTCAGAGGCACCGGGATAGAGGACACGTCACACAGCGGATGTGTTAGTTCATAACCCTGAAATGAATCGGTTGATATCGTTCTCTTTTGCTTCGAACATGAGGGGGATAACAGTAGGTGGACACATATGATGTGATGGATAGATATGACTGATTGAATTTAAAGTTGTTGGGGTTTTTGTTTGTGTGTACTGGTCTTGAATGAGTGTTAATGCTGTATATTTGCCGTAGCAAAATGGAGAGAGAGAAAACTTTTAATTGCTGAATTTAACTTCACTTGGTATTCAAGGCGTGCTTTTAATACATCTCTAGCTCATCTCTCACAGTTCTCTGCTGTAACAATCCATCTAGCACCGGCACACGAGCTGATTTAATCGCTCCATCTCCATGGGTGGGTCAGCATGGATCCATTCCATTCCTTGGCTGCCACTCCGTTATTATTCTTGACCATTAGTCATGAACCCTTCAAGCCGTCACGTGTCCTGCTCAAGCCTCTTTACTTCTATTCACGGGTAGAATGCGGTCGTCAACATGCGTGTGTGCGTCTGTGTGTCCGTGTGTGTGTGCGTGTGTGTGTGTGCGTGTGCGTGTGTGTGTGTGCGTGTGCGTGTGTGCTCTAACGCACGTGTTGATTGTTATCTCTCTCGATGCGATTCCAAGCACGCATTGTATCTCTCCACGCGTGCTCCGTGCAACATCGGCAACTTTGGCTTAAATTGCCGTCACAATTGAGATCCAGCGACACTTCTGTTCGTTACAAAAGGACGTTTCGTGATGACCTTCTGCGACAGCCCGTTGTGGAACAAAGGAGGCTTCGACTGTGAGCCACATTCAGTGATTTACAACCCGCTAATCCAGTGTTACTCAGACATATTTCTGTATGTATGTATGCTGAACTTCTTTCGCACCGTACGTAGCCACCCGCGCTAATTGGAGATGGGATGAGACACGAAACTGCCCCACCTGTCATCTCCACCAATTCAGGCGGTATGATGCATCTTGGAGTATATCGACATTCAAACCAAAGCATTTGAATATGTTTTTGTTTTCCAAAAATATCACAAAGTGAAATGATTATTGTCGAAAAGCATTCCGCTGTAAATGGGTTTAAAAAGCATTGTTTCGTTTACAATGTGTATCCAAGCAACAACAGGCTCGTATTGGATGGTTGATAGAGTATTGTCAGGAACAATGGATGCAGTTTTGAAAGAAACAACGTGTGACAATGTCCTCTTGTTTTGCGGGAGCAGTTTATTGACACGAAGCTGCACAAAGAATGCAGGATGTGCATATGAAAAAAAAGCCATAAATGTGGACGGAGTACATGTTGTGAGAAGTCAAATATCACATCCACAAACAGCCGCAGTGATACACATCGTGGCGTCACGTTGTCTCCTTAGCTCCTCGTTCGGCATGACATTGTGGGTTTGCATCGCGTTTGTCGCCAAGGTGTTGACGTGCGCCGTTCTGCTCTTTGAGAAGAGAAATCACACAAAAGGTGATTTTTTTTTAACGCAAGAGATTGTGATTGGGACCGTTGTGATCGGTCCTCCCCGTCGTGCCTTGCATGTCACCTGGCATCATCGCACATCTCACGCATAGCCTGGTCCTACACCCCCGGCCACTCTCTCACAAGAGCCAACATTGAGGCCATGCTCCTTGAGACGGCTTTATCAATCGACAGAAATAACAAACGTATCTGACTTGAAACAATTCATACGGTCATCATCTGTGCCGTTCAACGTTCACTCGTTGAAAGTTGTAGTGAAACAGTTGCCGCATTTTTTTTATAGGAAATAACACAAATTTCACTGCCCTTTGTCAATCCACTGCTGGACGAAGGCTTCCTCGTGATTTTCGGTCAAGCGAGTTGCTCCACCACACTTTAGCCACACCTGACCACACTTTAGCCATGGCTCTTACGAGGGCAGCTCTGCGTGTTGTAGGCAGCGCGCCACCTGCTGTGGAGACGGTGTCAAAGTTTAACTCTCAGCAGCAGTGGGCTTTCGCGAGCAATAGTATCCATAAAAGGTTGTTTTTAGGTTAGATCGCGTCAATATAAATGCGTCGTTAAATCCGCGACCACCCGACACAGCCAATTAGTAAGGTTTGTCACGTAAACAAAACGTGAAAATGTGTTACTAGTTCAGCACACCGGTGTGTTGGAGAGTAAACCCACATCATCTCCCAACACACCGTTGTTCTGAACTAGTAACGAATTGGCACGTTCTGGTTACGTGACAAACCTTACTAATTGGCTGTGTCGGGTGATGGCGGGTTTAACGACACATTTATATTCAGGCACATCAAACGTAGGGGTGGCGCAGACAACAGAGTGACCACGTTATTTAGCGACGGTTACGTGAGCGTGCCTTGCAACGTTTTTGTAAAAGTTTCTGACCTGCTTAAATAATTATTGATGGCACAATCGTCCGTTGTGCAGAAGCTCAGTGTCACTAGTGTTCGTCGTGCAGACCAATGCCACAATGCCATTTCGCAAGTGGATATTGTCTAACAATGTCCTTTGTTGCGTGTCTCTGCACGAAACCCAACGGGTAATTTAAATTCATACCGGTTGATAGGGCTTCCGATGAATCACGGACGTCTTAGCAGAGCATGCTACACGCACAAGCTTTGGTTTCTTGCGTTTGGCACCCGAAGGAAATTAAGACTCGCGGGAAAAAAGTTAACCGATACACAATTTTTATTATCGAGTGCACTCCTGCAACACAATTCACCGACAGATACATTTATTTGCAAGTGAAATTTGGTCATTTCAGACATTCCCATGTACACCTAAACAATATCGTCAAGGCGTTTGAACCGAGTTATACAGCTAGGAGAGATATTTGCTGTACCATACTGCCATGTCAGCCAGTAGAGACTGTAGTTTTGTGTCAGGCAGTAACGTTGTGTTTCGGATGAAGGCAACGTCGTCCCAACCTATGAACACAGCGGTGACATTTCATTCCTTTCTTACATTCACTGGATACGAAATGATCATGATGATGATAGCCAGTGCCTACATAGTAGGAAATCAAACTGCCCGTGTGCAGCCTCTGCCACAACAATGCCGCACCAGCACACATTGTGACATTGTCTAGTGGCGGCTTGAGACTAACACGGGGCATTTTAAAATGATAGATATTTCGTAAGCGGCTTAATCAGGGGCGGTTGTATCTTAGCTCAAACATCTTGACTCAAACCTCTTCACACACACACGTGAATGTGAATACAGGGCGCGAGCTTTTGACCGTGCTATAACATAATAGTGAGAAGCAATGTGTGTCTTCACAACGAAGATTTTGATACGGTTGTGAGCGCTAATGATTTTCTACTTGAATTAGTAAATCTTAAAGCGTCACACAGCATTATGACCTTAACAGGTCACGACATCCCTGCAATGTCGCTTCAAGCACCTCCAACAACCACGGAATGAACAGCACTGTACTGTGTCCTCAACGTGGTCATCCTTTCGGGCTTTCATCATTTTCCTCTCGGAGTTGCATCGTTAACATTTAAATGGCCACTGGGTCACGTGACCGTGCCGTTCGTGTTTTACACGCAATACAATTTACCCGCATGTTAAGAAGTACAGCAGTGCTCGAGACAACGGTCAAGTTTTGTAGCCCGGAAGTTCCGACTGCATCCAATGTAACGGTGTGTGTCTTGATAATTGTTTTTTTTACCCTTTTATCTGGCAGCAAAACTGACACCTTTTTCGATTTAAAGCTTTCGTGACTGCAGGGATCCATCTTCTTGGTTCTTTCGGTAAAGTCACGTAGAAGGGAAGCAATAAAATAATAAAAATAAAACATAATAAAATAAAATAATTCTCACGACGTTTCGGCCACAACGCAAGCAGCCGTCCTCAGGACGTGAGAATTATTTTATTTTATTATGTTTTATTTTTATTATTTTATTGCTTCCCTTTTACGTGACTTTACCGAAAGAACCAAGAAGATGACACCTTTTTTACAAGGAGTCATTTTTGCATTGACCACAATACCTGCGGTCGGAATGCAAATAAAAAAACACAACTCTGATAATGTATGCACTGTCCTTGAAATTGATTGGTCCACACCCGAGACAGCTTTTCTTTGAGCCTCGTCTCACACGGTGTTGGACCAGATGACGCCAAAAGGCGCACAACTCAAAGACAATGCACCATCAGAGTATGAGAGCTCGGGGTAAGCATTTACACCATTGGAACCTCCTTTGCATTCCGACCGCAGGTATTGTGGTCAATGCAAACATAACTCCTTGTAAAAAAGGTGTCAGTTTTGTTGCCAGATGAAAGGGTAAAAAGCAATTATCATATTTTTCTACTGGCAAAAGAGGTTCCAATGGTGGTGTGTGTCTTGAGTGGTTTGCATCTTGAATTTGTATCAGTCCTGTGAATTAGTACGCTGCAATGTAAAAAAAAACATCGAGGTACTAAAACAGATGAAACCCACAACAACAACAACACAAATTAAACCCGAGTCATTTATAACTGGCCCAGCATATCAGTTGACATCAGCGTTTATGAACAAATCCCAGTATGCAATTGACGGGGCTGGGGAGAAAACAACTGTCAGCTGTTCTACACACAACCTCAACGCGGAATTATGTGAACCGAATGCCGTATTTTTCCTTGAACCGAAACGTTGCATTGTTGTACCTTACTGAACATTGACCAATGTGCACATTACCTGGGACACTTTAATGACGCAAAAAAAGAAACCCACGTTTCTTTTGTGCTCGTAGCGATGTCAGTCTGTGAATTAGGCTACAGTCGTGAACCAGAGTCTGCCCACACTCATTTAGCAACATTGTCCACAGTCGTACCGTCTAGTCGTAGTCGCCTTATTAGAATTAGAATGTACGTGCGGTGACAGACGTAAATCATACGCGTTTATACAGATTGCGAGTAAAAAATGGCTCACGCTTTGGCGATGCGCGTCACAATCCACACGGACCGGCGATGTTCACAGCTCGTTCAGCGTAGCCAACATCTCACACTGTGACAATAATTCATGGGGCAAGCGACGAACCCCAAGGGGGGCGGCCAACGTGAAACGGACGGCGTGGTTTTGACGGAGTATTGCATCGCCACGAGACGTCTCGCCGTCGAGTCAAACCGAAGCGGAACTCGCGTCGTCTGCACGACGCGTAGCGGCATTTCAAACTCGACTGCCCTGTGGTTGAATCTGACAAATTCGTCAACTCATAGTTTATTAAAGCAAAACAACAACAACAGAAACCCTCGAATATATCCCACATGCGAACATGAGCAGTGGTTTAGATACATAATTAATAAATACGTCAATAAATACGGGAACGACACGCCGATGTGTAAGCATGTAAACGACACGTTGATACAACGGTAGCAGCAATCACGTCATTGTTAGTACCGTATCCGCCGGATTATAAGACGCACGATTCTGCCCCCCCCCCCTCTCCCCCGCTGTGTTTTAAAGCGAAATGTGTGGGGTGGTGTGGGGGGAGGGGTGCGTCTTACAATCCGGTAGATATGTGTGTGTGTGTAACCAGATTTGTATAACTTCATTGACACCGGGCACAACTTTTGGTGGCGGGGTGGGAGGAGGTAGGGGGGGGGGTTGGGTGGTGCGTCTTACTTTCCGGCAGCGTCTTACAACGCGGAGAACAGGGCGGTGTGCGAGGCAGCGCGACTCCTCTTAGAGGGTGGTGGTGCGCGACACGCCACCGCACGTGCCGTTACGGTAGACGCTGCCCGCGGTGGCGTTGTTCGGCCGAAAGTTGTTGAGCTGGTTGCTGCGACTCTGCGCGGCGAACGCGCGACTCTTCAGCGCCGACGCGTAATAGTCGACGGGCTCCTCGAGACCCCCGTCTATCCAGCGCAAGCACAGGATCCTCTGAAAGGAGCGCTTAAAGTTGTCCGAGAGGAAGCCGTAGAGGATGGGGTTGGCGCAGCTGTTGGCGTAGCTGAGGATGACGGAGAGCTGCATGACGGTGGGGTGTGGCGACACGCCGAACACGAAGAGCAGGTGGATGGTGTAGAAGGGCATCCAGCAGAGCACGAACACGGCCACCACCATGAGCACCATGCGCGTGATCTTGCGCTCGGAGCGCCGGCGCTGCTGCCAGCCCGCTTTGAGCGCCACCGCTCGCATCTTGAAGATGATGAGCAGGTAGCACACGCAGATGGCCACTACGGGCAGCAGGAAGCCCACGATGAACGTGTAGAGGACGAACGCCACCGACCATGGCAGGTCAGTGTGCGGCCACAGCAGGTTGCAGATGACGCTGTCGGAGCCTTCCTCCCTGCTCGGCTCCGTGTTCGCGAAGATGATGATGGGCAAGATGACGAGCAGCGAGAGGGCCCACACGCACACGTTGGTCATCTTGGCGATGCTCGGCCGCCGGTAGCGCGCCGCCTTGATGGGGTGCACCACGGCGATGTAGCGGTCCACGCTAAGCACCGTGAGGCAGAAGATGCTCGTGAACATGTTGATGCCGTCTACGCTGAGCACGAGGCGGCAGAGCAGCGAGCCGAAGGGCCAGTGGTGCATGGCCGCGGACGTGGCCAGGAAGGGCACGCTGAGCATGAAGAGCTCGTCGGCTATGGCCAGGTTGAGGATGTAGATGTTGGTGGCCGTCTTCATCTTGGCGTAGCGGAATATCACGTAGATGACGAGCGAGTTCCCGAGCAAGCCTACCATGCACACCACCACGTAGATGAAGGGAATGACCACGGTGCTTGCGTCAAACACCTCGAATGCGTCTCCCGACGACGCGGTGGAATTGGGACGTTCGGTCAACATGCTGCTTCCGAGCGGCGGAGCTGAGTCGCCCGCCAGAGTGACGTTGGCCCCATCCAGCGCACGAATCCTCGTGGCCACGGCGTCTGTGACTCGCTCGTGTCGGAGCGCGGCGCGCGGCGCGCGAGAAGAAAACGCGCGTGGAGGGGGAGGGGCTGGAACCCCCGTCGGGTGGTGGCGTGGCCCCCACCCTCGAGCCCGGGTGAATATTGAGAAGAATGGCTCACGTCGCACGGGGTGGATGCGATTGGGTACGAGGTTGCCTAGCAGTGCCGTACATCGACACGCGCGCTCGTTTGCTTGCCAGCGAGAAGTGGCCAGGGGGGGGCATTTGGATAACCACGTTTTTGAAAATTCTTATCTGCGTGAATGAAAACAACCGCGCGTTTTAGATTAATGGGGCTCGCGCAGAGGTGTTTGTTTTATTGGACGAATTGTTCTTTCAATGTGGACATGCATGTTGATGTTCGTTGGACAATCTTCGTTTTCATCATCAGTAACAGCCTTGGTCAATCCACTGTTGGATGAAGACATTTCCCAAAAGCGGATCCTGCGATGGAATAATCCACGTAGCACCTGCACGCACGAGCTGATTTAATCGCTCCATCTCCGTGCAGTGGACGCGTTCCGTCCCTTGGCTGCCACTCCGTTATGATTCTTGAATATCTGCCGTCAAAATTGTATTCTTTACTTCTGCAAATGTATGTAAAATCCTGCGGTATCTCGATGAGCTAAAAATGTTCAATCCTCTGCCTCTACCTATTACAAGCTCGTATATCACAGGAGCTCTTAAGGCGCACAGTGTCGAATCAATTAAATTTAGAAATTGAATAAAACAATCAATACTTTATAGACAAAAGCAGTTATTGGTAAAACATTACACGGTGTGATATAAACATGCTAATTATACACAAATATTGAAATAACCCTATGGTTACAAGTGCAATATCAATAATTAAGGTTATCACGAAGAGACAGGCAAGCTGGGTCAATGGAAATGTAAAAAAATACATCTACCCGATGATAAATGGATAATTTTCCTTAATATTTCATCACACCGATTGTGAGAAAAAACTAAATATGCGTTAACTGTCTGGTCATGAACGCAGAATTATTTATTAAATTGGTAGTTTAAGATAATAACCAATCAAGGGAAGCAATCCCAGTGAAATCTCCCAGAATCAATAATTGCCACTGCTTAGGGGTTCTGTACAACCGTTCTCACCAGAAATGTGAATCTGATTAGTTCGTTTGAGAGGGGATTTGAAAGAGCTGGGAATGTGCCCCCGTAGAAAACGCGACCACGGCATGCGTGTCTTTAAAAGAGAATTATTAATCCACACATACACAAAACATTCGCATGAAATATATCCCTTGATCATCTTCGCAGTGTCCGTTGTAGGGATTGTTTGAACATTCTTCATCATGCTGGCTAGTGATGGGTGGAAGTCGGGGAGGGAGCTAGAACTGGTTAATATATCAAAGGCTGCTTCTTTGACCGGGAATGGAACTCCAGTCGCCAGGTCCATAGAGCGGTCGGCTTGCCACTGCACCACTACTTTACCCTGTGTGTTAATTATGACAGCGGTAAATTGTGTCTCGCTCGAGAGTAATTGGATTAAAGTCCTTGTTTTAAGCAATGAATATCATTATACTGCACGGCAGATGTGTTTGTATTGTTGATTGTTGTAACGTTCTTACTCGCCCCTACGGGACATCAGTGAAAAAGAGCTTCACGGTTCATCGGATTCCTCCGGTGTAAATAAAAAAAATTCTGATTCTGAATCAAATACCGTCTCTGAATGTCTGGAACCGGTAACCGTTTCAAGTGGAATCTTTATAGCAGCCGCTTGGTAAAGTGCCGTCGTCTCGCGGCTTGAAAGGATGAAGGCGGAGCCCTGCGATTGCTCGCTGAGGTCGCTGCTGGCGGAAGAGTCTCCAGGAGAGGGAGCGCCAGAGGCTGTTTTGTCGACTCTTACAGCCGTTGAAAGCGGTGGTGGCGGGGGGGGGGGTACAAAGACAGCGTATCCACAGTTCACCACACCAGTACCAACACAGCCACCCTTCGCCACCGAGTGACGGCGACGCCACCACGGCGCCTGTGCCAGGCCAGGTGCACTTTTAGAACCACGTGAGAGTGTCGAAGGCTCGTCGACGGGAGGTCACGGGGGGACAGAGCCAGCAGGTGCCGTGGGCTGGCTGACTTGAGATGACCGGCCGATGCACCATCAGCTGTGGCCCCTACTTTACCACACCACACTCCCAAGTCCAGCGTGCTCACCGTTACACAGTGTGAAAAGGTAAATAAGTTAAGTTTTTTCATCGACGTTAATACGCGTGCAGGGAAAATGTTAACCGGTTTTGGAACAGGTTTTTCTTTTTCTCATTGGATTGCGGCTAATGCTATGAAGGCTGATTTGACAGCCAGAGTTGCAGCTGCGTTATTTCGACTTGATAATTATTGGAGTGGGTCGGACGTGACGTGGTGAGATAACGAATACGTCTTCAGTATGGCAAGCTTGTAATTGATTTACATCGTTACATCCTGAAGCAGGGCCGTACTTCGGTATCTTTATTTTCCCTCGGGACACCAAACAACAAGGGAGACGTGCCCCATCCATCCACACGCCCAGCATCACCAAAATCTCGCTGCTGGGATGCACTCTCAATGCAAATGACTGTGTTCTACAGGGTTGGTCCAGATGTCTCTTGACACCCGTTTAATTCTCTAAAATGTAAGGGTGTTCTTTTTTATAGTAAAGTTTATTTAAAACAGAAATGAATATGCAAAGGGAACACAAATGGTTGTGGGTCGATACATTTTGGGGATCACCAGACATCTGTAGCACCCTGTGCTGTGTCCATATACGTACCTATCTCACGATGAAAGTTACGCTCATAACCAGCGCTTAATTTCAACCGAAACCGTCCTCAATTCCGAATTATTGTGTGACGCTACTCCCGTCTCGCCTAGCTTTGTCCTCAGCCTGTTCATCGGATTCTATGAATGTAGACTTCAGTGAACAAAGTATTGCCGTGGAGAGGTGTAGACTGTCCTCCAGTGGTAATCCCCACTCGGAGCCAGCAGCGGTTTTTATAAAATGTCAAGTCGAGGAATTGCGCCGTGCCTACGAGCAAACGGCGAGGTGCAATAGCTGCAGCATCGTCCCGACAATGATCCTATCGCACGTGACGAGAGGCAGAGCCACAGTGGGAGCCGCTCGCACGGCTCCATCCTCCAAGTGTCAGAGAGACGCCGGTGGGAGACGGAGAAAATAAACCACACACACGGCGCACACAAAGACAAAGTTCCCCCGTATAGCCTTAACAGACTGTAGGGGAAAGTGCTGTTAGCGAGCCCCTATGACAGCCGGAACGGTACACGAGGGGGTGGGTGGGTAGCACCACGCCCGACCGCCTTTGTCTCCCCAGTGGTGATGTTTACACACCGCACCAGGTACTCATTTCAGGTTGAGTCGACCTAGGGGAGGCCCAGGACCGGTTCAGATAATCGTCACTGGTGTTGGCCGTGAGCGGGAATCGAACCCAGGTCGCCAGGTTCATAGCGCAGCGCGCTCCCCGCTACACTACCGCACACACACACACGGCGCGCACACACACACACACACACGGCGCGCACACACACACACGCACACACGGCACATGCTGTTGTGCCCAGGGCAGCAGTTACTTGAACCCGAGCGAGATAAAGACAAAATGATGAACTAACGAGGCGAGCGAGAAACAGGTTCTAAGAGGCCCTTTTGGATAACTAAACTTCACCTTGAAAGGCAACAACAGCACCGGTTTGCCATCAAGCATTGAGGTTGCAATGAGTGTGTGTGTTTGTGTTTTATCTCGCTGTGGCATATGGGTCGGACAAATGGACATTGGCGAAACAGGAATGTCGAGTAGAAGCTTTGAGAAGGAAGGATGTCGAGGGGCGGGAAATCGATTCGGAGATCGACTGATGATCGTTGTTATCGCCGTCGTAATCATCATCTATCAACATCGTCACCGTCCGTAAAGATTCACCTCATCGTCAGTAAACATTCACTTAATCGTCAGTCGAGATTAATCTCATCGTCAGCAAAGATTCATCTCATGTCAGTAAACATTCAACTCATCGTCAGTGAACATTCACGTTATCGTCAGTAAAGACTCATCTCATCGTCAGTCGAGATTCACATCATCGTGAGTCGAGATTCACCTCATCGTCAGGCCAAGAGGTCGTCAGGATCAATGTTGTTGGTGTGGCTCTGCGTGTCGCCGTCACTTAATTTCTTCTGCCAGATCCCAAAACGGTTGCACAATCACCACCTTCGCCTCCACGGTCTGCTCTTACTGAACCACAACCTCAGCAAATCTGTCTAAGCTCAACAAGATCTGTGTAAGCTCATGAGTTGTGCAAAACCCAGGGGAAATGTAGCCAAACTTAACCGAAACTCCTGTGATGTGTGAACAAGGACAGATGCAAGTCTGCATTTAATGAGTATCTCTTATCTGTGAACTAGAAGAGCCTTTCTTATCTGGTATATATATATAGTGCGTGTCCACATTTTTGCTTGCATCCGTGAACGTATTAACATTAGCCAGGGCCAAGCTGCAGATAACAGGATGAGCCACCAATCATCTTGACATGACGGGTGGACAGAGTGGCACATGAGGGGTGAGCATAACGGGAGACTCACTTGTGTTTCGCAACTGAATATGTGGAGCAATTAAAATAGTTTAACCTTCTACTCTTTTGTATGTATGTATACTGAACCTCTTTCGCGCCCAACGTAGCCAAACGCAAGCCTTTGCTTTGTGGGCTAATGCCCCGAGGCAGGATTATCATTCAGATGGCTGTTTACTGTGAGTGGATGTTGTGCACAGTTTTATACAGCAACCGCCTCTATTCTAATGCTAATCTTTGCGAATCCAGAATGGCAATCCGGTGGGGGTTCCTGCTAAATTAAACCTGGAAACAACCAGACAATCTCCGGGTGCCTTAAGTGGATTAGCCTAAACTTGTAAAACCCATACATACATATTTAACACGAATAAAATATTCCGCTTTCCTGCCATAGCGAAAATAAATAAATAAAACTCGTAACTGCTACTGGGACAAACATCCCAATGCTGAAAGGAATACCTGCAAATTACTCACGTTCAGTTTTCAAGTTTATTTCGTGAAACATGGAAACAATTCAAGAAACAATGACGCAGGATTGTCAGTTGCACGCGTAACGAGTGCTGTGTGTGGAAGGACAACTTTCCGTAGTCATTGGCGGAGAATTCTCGAATTTGTAAAAATGAGGGGAGCCACTGACGCCGGCACACGACGGTCCAACTCTTGCTAAAAACGTCACGGGATCTTTTACGTTCGCTGTGAATAATAAAGGGTATTTTTTTTGGGGGGGGGTGGGTCAGATCGCGTAAATCTAAATGTGTCGTTAACCCGCTACCACCCGACACAGCCTATTAGTAAGGTTTGTCACAGACAAAAAATAAGTATAACCCGTAAAAACAAAGTTTTTCACTATAAATCCTTTATATGCGTGGTGGC